AGTCATTGGGCTTTTTCATTGATGGCCGGTTTGGGAAAGTTTATCCAAAGCCAAACAAACTACAGAAAGTTCGCAAAGTTCTGAATTGGTTGGCCCAGCGTCCTCGTGTCTCAGGAAAGATGTTGGAGCGCATCATTGGACACTGCATTCATTTTTGCATGTTGAGAAGAGAGCTTTTGTCGGTTTTTCGTGCTGTTTATGACTTCAAGATCATTGCATACAATAGCAGGCAAAGACTCTGGAAGACAGCAGCTTTGGAATGTAAGTGTATGGCAGCCCTTCTTGATTTGTGTTTTGCGGACCTGCGACGGCCGTGGTGCCAGGAGGTCACAGCAAGCGATGCCAGCCTCACTGGGACTGCGGTGTGCTCATCTCATTGGGGCCCAACGCACATACATCAGGTGGGGAGACAACGGGAGTTGTGGAGATACAGGGCTGTTGGCGGTGCAGGGAGGGCCAGAGAACATGTTCAGGCCTTGGACCCATTCACTGACCAAGAAACGGTGAGACCATCCACCCCCATTGCTTCACTGGTGCAACCTCTGGATAGTTTTCAGTTGAATCTAGACTTCAAGGAGGTTCCTTCATCTTTGTTACGAGTTGAGGACTGGACCATTGATTTTTCAGCACGTATGACCATGCCAGAGCACATCACGTTGCTTGAGGGTCGAGGGGTGGTTCAGGCCCTCCGGCACAAAGCCCGGGGGTCCGTCAACTTTGGACGACGACATATCCACTTGAATGACAACCTCGGTATGACACTTGCTTTCGATAGAGGAAGGGCTAAGAATAAAGCGTTGCTTTTCCAATGTCGTCGCAGTACAGCACTTGCCATAGCCACACATTGTGAGTTTCATTTTAGATGGATTCCTTCAGAGTTGAATGTAGCCGACAAACCATCCCGTATTTTTGAGCCACCGCGCCATGCCTCCAAAAGGAGCACGCAAAGGGCCATACAAGAGGCCATCGACCCAGGCTCAAAGATCAAGACCGACAAGACCAGGAACCAAACAGGACTCCGTGGTCAATCGTTTGAAGAAGGCAGTTCATCCATATGTGGGGTTGTCAAAGATCCCCACCCCAGCAGAAGTTCGAAGGAGAATTGCCGACAAAACGGAGGAGGGTCGCAGTGCAAAACGGCAGAAACTGGTGGAAGAGCAAGCAAATCCTCGACTACCGGGACAGACCTTTCTAGAACAGTCAGCAATTTCTCCCAAGACTGCCGCAGACTATCAGATGAGAGTCACGGTGTTTCGAAAGTTTTGCCAGTTACACAATATCTCAACAACAGGCAACCGGAACTTGGATGCAAGCCTAACAACCTTCTTTCAGCAGTGTTTCAACGATGGCATGGAATATGCAGAAGGGTCAAAGTTTTTGGCGGCAATCATAGACAGTTGGCCCGAGGCAGGAGCAAGGGACAAACTACCCAGGGCTCGACGGTCGCTCAAAGGCTGGAAGAACCTGGACCCAGGACGAAGTCGTCCGCCAATTCCGTTTCCATTGGTGGCGTTGATTGCTCAGAACATGCTGGAAGCTGGGAGTGTGGCCAGCGCGATGTTAGTGCTGACCATGTTCGTGGCCTATTCCAGGCCAACAGAGACCCTTCGGCTGCAACGGAAGGATCTGGTTTTGTCAACCTCCCTGGGAACGACGTGCACGCTCGTTCTCAACCGAGACGAAGACTTCGAGACTTCCAAGATGGGTGTGGCCGACGAGAACCTCAGTATAGACTCCAAGGCAGTACCATGGCTGGGAAAAGCTCTGGCCATGTTGAGCAAAAACCTCCTTCCGACACAAAAGCTGTTCCAGGTCGAGTACAACAGTTTTTTGGAAGATTGGAAGAAGGCCCTTCAAAAGTGCAACCTGCCTCGAGGACACTCAACTCCCTACCAGCTGCGCCATGCCGGCGTCAGTTGGGACCGCTTCAAAGGCTACAGGACACAGCTGGAAGCAAAGATGAGAGGTCGTTGGCAGTCGGACAGCTCCATGAGCAGATACGAAAAGAAGGCATTAGTGGCGACAGCTTTCGACGCGCTCCCTCAGCAGGTTCAAAGGCTTTGCAACGCAGCAATCCAGACGCTGCCCAGCAAGGCCCTCAGCATTTTGGGCCAATGAAAGGTTTTCATGGAGTTGTTTGCCGGTTCAGCACGACTTTCCAAAGCATTGTCTAAGTTGAACTGGCACGTTGAGGCTTGGGACATCAACTTTTCTTCGGCGTGTGACTTGAGCAAGGTGAACATTGTGAACAGCTTGATAGATAGAATCAAATCGGGTGCAATTCAATTTGTTCATTTTGGCTTGCCTTGCAATACATGGTCGCGTGCCCGAAAAAATGATGGCCGAGGTCCCGGTCCCTTACGTGACGATACAACTTTTCTTATGGGATTCCCAAATCTGTCAGCTGTGGACCAAGGTAAGGTCAAACTTGGAAACGTTTTGCTCCTTCACACAGTCCGCCTAATACGAGCTTGTCAACAGGCCAATGTTGGTTGGACGCTTGAGAACCCCAAGACGAGCAGAGTTTGGTTGACAAGACAGCTAAGACGCTTGAAACACTGTCATTTTACACATGTGGATTTTTGTCAGTACAAGCTTCCTTGGCGCAAGTCGACACGTTTCCTTTGTTGTGACCGCTTGAACTTTGAACTTCGATGTTGCACCGGACCTCGAGGTATTTGTTCTCGTACATTGGCTCCACATTTGATTCTAGCGGGGTCTTACAATGGACAGTTTTTGACAAAACTTGCAGAGCCATACCCATGGACAATGGTTCGAACAATTGCTTCAGCAATTCAGCAGCAGACTCCCAAGAGTTCGGGGTGAGAGTTGTTGGACAGTGGCGCTTGACTTCGTTGCATGTGGCCGGTG